CTCTATTTGGAAAGATCAAATATGTTATTTGAATAGACATAACCAAGGTGTATGAACTCAATGACATCAACAAATACAACTGTGCATGCATGATGCAAGTGTGAATGAATAAATGAATGTCATGTATATGCTGACAAAACAGACATGGGAGATAGACTGAAGATGATAAGACGTCATAGTACAGCTCGACACTCGGCTAATCTCAACAGGATGGGAACATTACTGGAGATAGAAAACAAAAGCCATCATTGGAGCAAAGTCCTTTTACAAGGCTTAAATCTCTTTGGAGAGGAAGATATTTTCAGGTAGAAAACCCAAAGTCCAGTCTTCTATTATCGGCAATCCATTGAAAGGATAACAACACAAACAATGTTTCAGCTGGAAAAAGTCATGCTTAGCTAGAGATACTGGGAACACCACCCTCTGATAATGTGTGCAAAACATATCACATATCTTTGACAAATCTGGATTGTCCCTGGGACTAATTTTGGATGCCCCAAGTTTACTGCTGATAAGCTGCGTGATGCACGACAATTCTTGCGAATAACTTCACTTCTAAAATGCCCCAAGCTAAATGGTTGATGAGAAGAAATCGTCTCAAGAGGATTTTACAAAAGACCTGGCATCCACCGTGCTCTGGTGTCTTCAAACTCTTAGAGGAATTCATCAAATCTCGACGTAATTGCCCCGGATTGACTGGAGTTGGCACAATAAAGTCTTCAAATTTTGCCCCAAAAGAGTAAACAAGTTGGGAGAGCATTAACTGGGAGAAGCAACATGTTCGTGCTTACGGTCTTCAGGTGACATGCCCATGGATATGATTTTTCTTGACGTGATCCGTCAATTACTCAACATAGTTTCAGGCCTTAAAATAATAAACTCATCACTGGTGATTATGTGAGCTTCCTTGATATCAAACAAATGTTTTGCAGTTAGAAAAAGTTTACAATGAGAGTGAAAATTCTAATGCAACAGTTATGTAAGTCTTGAAGATTTTGAAAGATATCGCACAAATTTTGTGAGCTAAAGCACCATTTATTTTTGTATAGGAAAAACATATGATACCAACATAACTATTTAGAACATTCATGGGAGTTAGGAGCACTATCTCATTGAAGTATGCTTTCAAATAACCTTGCTTCAATTAGGACTTTTGAAGGTTGTAATGTGGTCTGGTTCATGGTTTTAGAAAAAAAAAGATTTAAGGCTCAAAATATTTGATGCCCACCCCCTTCATGGTATTCTCCAATCCTATGTTCAGTTAATTCAACATGAGCGTTCATCTCTCAAAAGGATTTTGTGACGGTTAAGGAAACGACGAGGTTTTCGGAGTAGAAACCACCCTCATGTCTTCATGTTTGTAGTCACCAATTTGTTCTTTGCTGAGGACTTTTCTTTGCGGTCCTTTTCTTTGCAATTTTATTTTCCCTAACTTTTGCTTGAACTAATTCTTTTGAATTGATAGTCCAGCGGGATGCCTTAATTTTGCCTAAGTCACACGTTTTCATTTTTTTTTTTTGACTTAGCAGGCTTTTCTTTTTTTGATTTTTTTGACTTTTTGAAGAAAATGTGTGACATTAGCTTGTCTTTGCTTGTTGAGAGGATTGTGATTGCCTCGTTTCTTGATGAGTGAGGGATAACATTGTGGTTCCACATCCTCTAGATTCATTATACATGAAGGATAGCCCTCGTAGTTTCTCTTCAAAAAACATCTTCCTTATGAATTTTAAACACTCAGTCAGATTAACTAAAAACTACCCTGCCCCAGGTTAAAATTCAAGGTTTTTTCTCGTATAGAAAAGAAACTTCTGCTTCAAAGGCTCAAAAGGGGTTAGCAAGGGATTATCTTCCTTATATCTCCAGTGTTTAGGGATTTGAAACAATGCATGTACATCATCAGCAAGATTTTATCCAAAAGCATGCAACCAGAGATTTTGTGTTCTTTAGATCATCATCCTCCCTTCAATCTCTGCCTAGGCAAGAGAATGAGCAACACTTTGGTATCATAGTGCAAAAGCAATTTAAAATTTGAAAACAAATATGAGTGAAACGAATGAATTTCTTCAAGACAAACATATTCATTGTATTAAGATAATCATTCAGATGCAAACAAGTTCTTACATGGAAACAATGTTTTGATAAACAAGAAAAATTACAAAAAGCATAAATAAGTTAATACTCTGGGAAGGCATTTCATCTGGACTTGAATTACTGAAAACATCCTTTAAAAAGTCACCATCAATCGTGTTTACTCTTTGGCACATGCTTGATTTGAACTTCAAAACCAACGTCCTTAAATGACAAGATACTGTTTCTGACCAACTTCTGAACCTCAATCTTTAAAGCAAAGCAACCCTCCAAGTCATGCCCAGGAGCACCTTGATGAAAGGTACAAGCCAAATCAGCTTTGTAGTACCAATGTATCTTCTCAGGAACCTTCGGTGGAGGTCGGGTCTGAACCAAATTCCTCTGCATCAGGATAGGGAACAACTCTGTATAGGTAATTGGAATTGGATCAAACTGGGTTTTCCTTTGATTAGGAACTTGCTGATTCTGTTGATGAATGGGAGAAACGTGATGATTCTGACGATGATTATTTCTTCCTATGGTTCTCTTCTTGGAAAATTTATTATCAAACTTCTTCACACCATTAGCTGAGCTACCATCTTCATATAAACATCCCTTTCCGACATCTTCTTCTAAACGCACTCCCACATTCACCTTGTCAGGAAAGTCATTAGGTGCATTAACCATCACCTTCTCATGAGAGAATGATTTTAGAGTTTCAGTGAAGACTTTTATCATCGCTTCCTCCCTCCTAGAAGGATTGACTTGGGCGGCAACCAGAATTTCAACCAAACCAGTTAAGTGCTCCATACTAGCTTTCAAAATAATCATCTCTCTACGGAGTTCAGAAACCTCTTGCTTGATATTCTCCATTGTCCTCTTAGCGCGAGTGTTGTACTAGTGAGACCAAAGGAAAAATAAGACTCGGAAAAAGACCTTTGAAAGTGAAACAAAAAATGTAGAATGATGTATGATATGCAAAAGAGAGTTTTTATTTGATTTTCAAGGAACTCAAGATATTAAGTTGTAAACATCAGAGTATGAAGATAGAAGATGAATTTTAAATTGGCTCCAAACATTGATCAAGTTATCATCAAGATCAATCATCCATTTTGGTGGATTAGGGTTTTCGCCCTATCAACACCCAAGATCCATTGAGCTTGACGAAACTTGTGATGTTTACAAAGAAAGACCTCCAAATTCCTTCAAAGTCAAGTGAAAAGGGTTTTATGGATGCATGGATGCATGGCTATGCAACAACCACAAGCAAGGTCACAAATAAAGTCGAAAGGTTCAACGTCACGAGCATGGAGTCAAGGTAAGGAACACCCTCAAGGTATGTACTAACGGTTTAATCACACCTGTAGAACAAGGTTCTAAGAGTTCCCAGAGTCTACATTCCTCCTTCGGATATTACCAACGTCTTGATTACTCAATAATCAGCAATATTCTCAAGAGAAACTCATCCGAGCGTAGCATCGCGTAACAATTACTTCCGGATTACTCTGTTATAATCTCCGCGCTACACCTAAAAGGCCAAGGTGGGTTAAGGGTTCTACGGTTCTCAGCTTCTTTGGCTCCCAGGTCGAAAATAATAATGTCTTCCCGATTACTCGGTAAATAAATATTACGTTCAAAAGGGCCTTCCACTGAGTGGGGAATCTCATGCCTTCTTCTTTGGGATTACTCCCTCAAAGTTAACATGACTATACCGCCCGTCCTATTCCTAAGTGTAACTTAGTCCGGGTATAGGACTTGTCCTTTGTAAATATTATCAACACCCAAATAATCATAATATATATATAATCAAACAATCAAATAATGATAAAACAGATAAAACAAATTAGGCTTAACCCACTTAGGGATGGACCAGCAAGAGGTCAATCATTCCCCAGCAGAATCGCCAATTCTGTAGCGGTGAAAATCGGAGATCAAGCTATTAATTAACTTGACTCACAAAAAGCAAGAGTCGCCACCGCGCTTTATTATTTCCAAGGGAAAAGGGAAAAGAGCGAAATAAAACCCTAAAGTATGCAATGTAAATTAATATTTAAAAGTAATGAAAATACAATGCGTTTTTAAAAGAGATCTAGAGTTCGGGGGTTGGTTATGCAATGGGAAGGTATTAGCACCCAATGCATCTGCGGTACTCCGCAGGAACCTTTTGAAATATCTGTTTTTGGTTAAAATTGTTTGTTTGATTAAAAATAGGTATGGACGAGATTTTTGAAAATCCGACGAGCTAATGTCGAAGTTTTTGACTTAAAAGGTGTGAGTTTTAAAATTGAGTCTTTTGGAAAATTATCTTGAGTTTAGCAAAATAGTAACCAAAAAAAATGAATGAAGGGGTTCGCGCAATCGTATTACTTATGAAGTTAACAAAACATTTCCCTTGGATTTAACCATGAATATATAAAATAACTTTCATCCACACATGGCGGAGAAATAATCGAAAACTCATCATTACATACTTTATTGACTTATTTACAAAGGAACAATGATTAATCGGTAAGCCCTAAAAAGTTTAGTACAAATTTATGTTTTATCTAAAAAAGAACTAAAGACATATTCTATATATTTTTTATATATTAAATAAATAAGAAAATACGCTAACATAAATTAATCTAAGAAAATATAATTAAGTTAACTAATCAATTTTTTGTATTTTTATTAAATAATATAGACTAATGAAAGAAGGAAAATTAATTCCTAAGTTAATTACTTAAAGGCAGTGAAATAAAAAAGAAGATTTTTTTTTATGCAAATAGAAAAGCAGAAGTAATTTCTCTCCTTCCTCCTTCTTACTTCAAATGATATTTTCCCCTTTTCCATAAAAATCAAACAAACTGCACATATAAACATGAATCAGCATACTGAACAAAACAAATGGAACCTGTATCGGAAGCCATGGCAGAATCGCGGATCAGAGGCTTCTAATGGTGCTCTCCCATACCTAGCGGTGATGATGATGATGATAATGATGGCATCGTGAAACGAACGGTGTGGCGCCGATCTGGGATCGTGGCGGCGATGGAGTCTGTTGTTGTTGATGGGCGGTCCTCGCGAGTTGGAGAGAAGGCCGTGGCGGTGAGGATTAGCGGATCTGAGCGGAAGTGGCATACCGTGGTTGTTGTTGCGGTTGTGAGGATTTGAGGTGTGATTTTGAAGCCTTGAAGAGCCTGCATTGCCATGGATGATTGTATGTCATCTTCAAAATATACGAATGCGATACCTGGCTTTGCATCAATCAAGCGCACTTCTTTAAACCCGGGGTATTGTTCGAAAAGCATTTCAAGCATTCTACCGGTAGTTTCGTAAGGTAAGTTCTCTATGAACAAAATATTGTTATGAGCAGCTGCTTCTTGGGAATTAGACCCTGGACGGAATGAGGGTGTCGGACCACCATTACTTGCACCGTGTGTTCCATTTGGCATAGAAGATGGTTTTGGTTCCTCAGTGTACCTCTTTTTCTCAGCTTTCTCCTCTTGTTTCTTTTTCTTTTCCCTTGGAACAAAACTTCCCTCTTCTTTAGCAATACAATCTGACTTTGTTTTTGCATATTGAATTCTCATGGGTTTTTCATAAAATGGGAAATTTTGCATCTGTCGCACTGTGTTACTGGCAGCAGTTACTTCACTAAAACAAACCCATGTCTGTCCTCGAAGCTTAGGTGTCTTTAGAGCAATAATATCCAAAATCCTTCCATATTGAGAGAATAAACAGTACAGAGATATCTTCAACTCATCTTTCTTGACCTTTTCATTGAGATTCTTAATGTGAATGGTTTGATTTGGAGGTATGTCCCCTGAAAGCATCCTTTCTTCTGGTTCTGATGGAAGAACGGTGAGGGGTGTGAGAACATAAGGAGTAGTCCGAAGGAGGCACGGAGAAGGTGACCATGTGGCTTGCTCAGACAGAGGGGGTAATTGTTGAACGGTGAGGCTGGCCGTGAGAAGAAGGAAGCAAATTAAGGTCGCTGGTGGGGCTGGGTTTTGTGAGAAAAAGACGGAAAGGATATGATGGTGATGTTCGTTGAGTAACAGAGAGAGAGTTACAAAAGGGAGTATTCTGCGGCGGATGATCATGATAGTGAGCGATGAACAGTTGGATGAAGAGAATTGGTATTACTGATGGTGCGAAATTGAGATGAAGGGAAAATAGAGGGAGTGTGTTGGATTGCTGGGTTATATTGGTTTAGCAAGGGAAGAGAGGAAGAGATATGGAGACAGGGGTAGTAGATGAAAGAAGAGAGATTATTCTTTTGGGAAGAGAAGCAAGGATAAGAGTTACTGTGTTGATTTTTCTTGTCTTTTTGTCCGTGTCCCCCTTACAAAAGATAAAGAAGCTAAAAATAGAAAAAATGAAAAGGAATATTATGATTTCAAAATAAATCCAAGCCGTTCAATATAAATTCAATCTCTATCAATCCGCAAATCATGCTATCAACCAATGAGAATTAAGCAAAGCCTAATTAATATTTTTTGTGACTAAAAAGTCCTTAAATGATAAAAATAACCAAAAGAACTAAATGTATTAAAATTAACTCAATTTAAAATGATTTTTTGAATATTTTATGAATAAAAAATAAAGACCCAAAATGACCGAAAATGATAAAAAACGGACGAAAATTTATCCGAAAAAATAAAATGAACACATTAAAATAATCTACATGTCACAAAGATTAAAGAAAAAATATTCAAGAAGTCAAAAATCAAAAATAAAATAATAATAAAAATATCAGACTAAACAGACGTTTAAGGTTAAAAACGAGACTTCGAACTGTACCGAAAAAATAAAGCGAGCATACCGTCATAATCTATGCGAAGCGCAGATTCATAAAATGATCGGTAAAAGGTGAAAACTTGAAATATTTTCTCGCTACTTTCCCGCATAGTGTCGAATCGCTTTTAACAGTCTGTCTATAAAACCGAAATATTTTATTATCGACATATAAACAACTTGGAGAAGTGCAAGAAAATAGTAAATAGATAAAAATGAATGAAGTGAAATATCGGGTATTTTACAACTGAAAGACGATGCAAACTTTGATTTAAACTGACTTTTCTGGTCAACTTAAATACGACTAATGATGCAAAATGTGATGAATGAAGATATTTACTAATGATTGTGACCAAATAACAAAATATGATATGAAGGTGCGACTAAAACATATTAGGGGCGAAATTTGGGGTGCAACAGTTGTGCCTTGATGAATCAGTCTTCGAGAATCCACAATCAACCGTACTTCTGGCTTGGGAGACTCAAAACTTTAATTGAGGCGCGACACCTGATGCTTTTGATTCAGACCTGTCTCTGCACATGAAACAAAAGAAACCATGAACATACACCTTTGTATGCGATTAGAAATTAGTGATACATAGGCTAAAAATTGTTCAAAACACTTGACAATCTTCGCATAGTCAAAGCTCGAAGGTGAGACATTAAAATCGACCGTATTTCGTGACCTTGACTTATCTTAAAAAAATGCAAAAATAAAAATGGGATTTTAGGTCAAAAATTGGGGTACAACAATATGTATATATACATCCTGCATAAACCATCAAACATGCCAAGCACAAGAATAGTGCCAATGTAATAAATTGTGTCCCACAAATAAAGTGAAACATAATAGCCTTAAGCCAAAAGTGGAAACTTTCTCAAAGTACCTCGCACATTCAACAGACAAGTCAGTATTCCATAAGGTGAGTGATGACTCACATAAGGGATGGATGCAATATGATGAAGTAAGCACAACATGATAACAATTATCAAATATTAGACATGATAGACAAGAGGAAACAGGCACATGCACAATTAGGTCAAAAGAATCAGAGGAATGTTGCTCTTTTTTATCACCATATTGAATTGACAATTGATTATCAATCAAGGATCATAGGAGCTAGAAAATAATACAATTAAAGACCATGAAGGTCAGAGGCAAACACATTTCAATCATGTATAATTAATTCAACCACAACTCACAAACACACTAGGAGATGGATCCCACACAGTGCATTAGAAGGTTCAAACATTCAAACATGAGGAATTAAATGAAATAAATTAGGCTATCATGGATAATCAGAATCAATATGATCATTAGGTGCTCAATCATAGGCCTCACTCAAGTTCATTGGCCATCAAACAATTTGCAACAAGATATGCAACATTAATTGGGTACCTTTACTCCAAAAATACATCATAAATAGAAACAAAGATAAATAAATCAAACCAAAAACTTCTTAGCATCCTTGAAGTGTGTAGAAGTCAGAAAGCAAGTCTTATGTTCATGAATGATTGAGGAGGGGATCAAATAAGGCCCAAAGTTCGAGACTAGTTGGCAAAACTACCAAACTAGACAAGTTTTCAAAATAATTTGTGGAAAAATGTCAAAGCAAGTCAAATTATTTAAGAAAAATGGTTTTCAGATCCTAAACACATTCATGAACCCTAATCAAGACTTGAATTCTATTGAAAATCCATGGTATAGTGGTTTTGAGAAAGAAACTTGCACAATAAGCAACAAAACCCTAATTTTTGACTTTTAATCTTAAATGTTGATTAATTAAGATCAAAATTCAAACAATTCAAACCAAGATCATACAAGACTCAAAGAAACCCTAAATGTCAGAAAATATATTTTTCACATTTTTTGAATTGAAGAAAAGTCAAAAATGAAATTAAATTCAAACAATTAGACAAATAAACAAATAATCACATCTCAACATAGAACTTTAATAAAAAAGTCATAAAAATGTCCAACCAAAATTATATTCAAATATTAGAATTAAAAACACACATCCCTGATTTTTTGTGGAATTTTTGAGTTAAAGGATGTATTAAACAAAAAATTATACAAACAATTAACAATTAAACTATTATTTAAAGGCAAAAATGCAAACCCTAGCCAAAAATCACAAAAAGGTCAAAATAAAAATATATTCATATTCTATGATTAAAGAAAAGCTTGCATAATTTTTTTTGAGAATTATTGAATTAAAGGATGTATTAAAACCAAAATTATGAAACAAATATTTCAAATAAACTCTTGAAATTAAATTTCTAATGAGAAAATAAAAAAAATGATAAACCAAAATCAGAATCAATCTTTACATTTTTTTATGAGTTCAAAATACTTTTTGTTGATTTTTTTAGATCAAAGGAACTATTAAAATAAAAATAAACTTTGAACAATCAATTAATTAAACCTATGAATTTTTTTTACCAATCAAATCATTTAAAAAAATTTCAGAAAAAAAAAGACAAATACTAGAAATTATTACTGGCCTATGGTAATTTTTTTATGATGTTTAAAAATATTTTGATCACAAAAATAAAATCAGAAAATCAAATATAATCAAAATTATGAAAAATGCTTTAAAACTCAAATGGACCAATCAGATCCGTCCACATCATCATCTTCAACCTCCGGATCCATTCAAACACGCGCGTTTTTCAGTGCTAGGGCTCATGTTCATGTCCACCGTACATACTCATTTCTCCATCAAAATCAATGATTCCAATCACATATCAAAGTTCAAACAGCCAACTACATCATGCTTTTTACAAAATTCAAAATGATTGACCATGGAAGTAGAAATCAGAGCAAGAAAATTGAAAAAACTCATTGAACCTTGAAAAACCAGAAGTTCATCAAATCGCATATACTTCAAAATCGAACAAATTTATACATCATATGTAAGATCTGGCCAGCTATGAACATGATAACAAGCTTTATATCTCATGAATAAAGCAAAATTATGGAGAATCAAGATATGGAAATTACCTTTCAAGTTGAGAAATAAACTCAACTATGGCCTCTAAAACAAAGCGAAAACTCGTGTCCCTTGCTTCTAATGCTCCAATGAAGTGAAAATGATCATGAATCGAGCTATGGAATGGAGAATAGAGAAGCTTCTAAGTAGAAAAATTTTGAGAGAGAGAGGTTGCAGTTTCTGATGTCTTGAGAGAAAATGAAAGCCTCTTTCGAAAGGGAATGAAATGTGGCTTATATATGGAGTGATTGCTAAGGGAAGAAGAGTCTTTGAAAAGCTAAAGGCCGTTGGAAGCAGAATTTGCAAAAACAGAAAAAAAAGTGTCCAAATGGTGATGCGTTTTGTTTCTACTTATGCCCAGCTTAGAGGTCGTTTGGTGATGTCATGTTGAGTGGCATTGTGAGTAAAACATGCGCATTTTGTGAGATGGCTACGTTGAGAACAAACAAAACTGAAGTTGTGCACAAATCTGCAATCAGGGGAATTGTTTTCTAAAAATCTGGCTAGCTGACTTTAAGCTTAGGCCACTTGAAATTCCCTCATGCATTTTGGATGCTTGAGGGGCCTTTCAAAAGCTTTCAAAATGTAGAACAAACTAGGGCTTTGAACTTTCCAAAATGATGCAAACTTGATGGAGAAATAGTGTTGCAAACTTGAGGAAAAAATGCAGATTGGCTTGCCTGGTCCGCGCGCGTGCATGGGCATGCATGGTGTGCATGAGGCCAACTTTGAAATACCAACTTTGAAACATCACAACTCACTCGATTCTTGGCCAAACTGAATGATTCAAAGTTCAATATGAAGCTCTCATGGGAGACTACAAAATGCTTTTTTTAATTTTTCAAAATGAAGCTTGAATCAACAGGAATTGACTTCACAAAATGGCATGCCAAGTGTTTGATGAAATTACGCGCATGGCTTGCCCAAGAGAAGTCATTTTGGCAATTAGCATTTTTCTTAAATTTTAAGTTACTTCTTGAACAAGTTACACTCAAATCCAACATTTCTCATGATTCAAAGATGAATTTGGGTATGGAATATGA